TATTACATATATGTAAAAGTAATTTACATCACTATATAAGATATACAATAGAAGAATGAATTTTATTTTGATTCCTTCTTTTTTTTCTACAATTTTACAAGTATATACATTGTCAGTGGAAACAAACTGATTCGTTGTTCCTCTCCACATATTGCTTGCAATAAAATCTCTAAGGTTTGACCTTAGCCTATAATCATTATCTCGATCTTGTATGCTAAAAGGATGTACATCTTCGTCCATCAATTCTCGATTAACCTCAACTATCAATGAGTCATCATTGTCGACTCCACGAAAATAGTTGTGAAAAATACAACATGCTAAGATAATTTTGGTCATCGTTTCTTTAAAACACCAAATATCCTTTCAACAACATTTCGAAGTTACGCATGATGAATATTAAACAACTTTTTTGGATTTTTTGGACATTTTCGGTTGTACTCCGTTAGGTGATATCTTACGTCACGATAATGTGTTAGTACATTTACCTTTAACATAAACCCAACCTCTTTAAGGTAATATTTTCCTACAATCATTATACTTAACATTATTTGAATGATTTCTAAGTGACCACAAATCAAGTCCAACAAAATGATGTGAACTGACCTTGTGGAATAATGAATGGATCATCTCGAATAAGCGCATAATTTAAAATGTGTGAATCATATGTAGTTCCCTCCCATCAAGCTAACACATATGTAAACTTCATATCAAAATCACATGTTACAAATATTTTTTGTGTTGACCAATCTTTTCTTCCACGATAGTGTGGGGTATCTATTCGTGGAACCCTAACACATACATGAGTATCATCTATTGCCCCTAAGCAATCTTAAATACCCAATAAAAATGCAAGTATAAACAACAATAAATACATTATGTACATAAATTGACATATGAGTTTGTACTATATTACTTTAAAGTATGGATAAAATCGACTGTTATTTAGAATATGAGGTTGGATTTTTGGTCCTAAATGGTTGAATTAAGAATTCAGCCTCTAACATCAATATGATATTCAAGACATTATGAAAATATCTTGAAACTGTTTGCCCATAGCTATGGAAAAAGAATAAGACACTTTTATTCTTCATGTTATGTCTAATAATGTGAAGAATTTTAACTATTTGTTATTCAACAGTTGACCGAAATGCATCTTTTACCTACTATTTTTTTTAATTGTTCGCATAATATAATGAATGTTTTAGGTCTCATCCGAATAATGTCACTAGATTATTCAATATATACTAAGTACGATAATAACTCTTGACAACGTTTTTTTTTAAGAAACAAACTCTGAAATTTTTGGAGTTGACAGATGTAACACATTTAAGTCATAAACAATAAATCATTTGCTATTTGTACCAAAATTTATTTATTATTGTAAGTATTCAATAAATCAAAGTTATCACAAAAAATATCATTATCAAGATCTATCTAAGTAAAACATTTGACCAATCGGTTTAAATGATATTGTATACAATATCATTTAAAGAGATATATAAGTATAAAAGATATTATATAAGATATCATTTTACAAATCCTCTAAAGAAATATATCGTATAAATTATATTTTGAAGTAAGAAAAAGTAATTTAGATTATAATATTGGACTTCAAACATAACTTTTTTTTTTATTTTTATTAATAATCTTGAAAATATTATATCAATTATAATTTTTATTATTAATAATCTTAAAAATAATGGAAACCTAAATTAAAAATATATCTATATATTTTTATTTTTTCTATCATTATATTTAATATATATTATTAACCTAAATATAATTTATAATTTATATTATTAACCATCTTAAAAATAATGGAAGTAAAATATATACTTTATATTTTTTTAAGGTTTGTATTTAATATATAATATTTACCTAAATATAATTTATAATATATATTATTAATAATCTTAAAAATAATAGAAACCTAATTTAGTAAAATATGTATTATAGTTTAATTTTTTATATTCATATTTAATATATAGTATATAATTCATATTTTATATTATTAACCATCTTAAAAATAATGAAATCTAACTTTGTGTATATATTTTAAATATTTTTAGGTTTATATTTAATATATAATATACACCTAATTATAATAAATAATTTTTATACCTACATCTAACTTAAATAACTACATAGGCTCAAATCTAAATTTCAATTTGATCACGTAATTGAAGTTAAATAAACATAAAACCCTAGTGTAATATTTTGATAACAAATTCATATTACAATTTTTTTATAACACATTCATATAATTTAATCATGTATCCACTTATCTTTAACTTGTAGCACCAACAACACTAAGAATGATTCACTCCACACTAACACTACCACCAAAATCAACAAGATGAACATCACTATAAACAAAGCAAACTAAGAGCGTCAACAACAGGAGAACCACCAACATCACCACCACGCGACCTCCACACGATGACAAGCCACCAACAACAAACCCCCAAACGATGACAAGCACCACCACCACCAGCACATGAGACCACCATATGATCAACAACTGCACCACCACCAACAACACCACGCCGAGAAAACCACCACTAGCACCACTTGAAACCTACACAACACACATATCAATGGTTAGACACAACACCACTCACATACATGAGAATTGATTCTCGTTACAAACACATGCTTGACGAGACGACTTGCAAACAACAGCACCACAAGACCACCATGCTGAGAACACGACCAACACCACCACTAAAACCTGCAACATCACAATACACATCAATGGTTGGACACAACACCACTCATGCACGCGAAAATTGATTCTCGTTACAAACACAGACTGAACGAGATTACTGAAAAACAACAACACCATTAGAACAACTCATGAGCAACAACTGCACCACGAACACGACGACGAACCACCAACAACAACACTTAACACTTGCAATAAGACAACACACGTCAATGATGAATACAACATAATTCACACATGATAATTGATTCTCGTTGCAAGAACACTTGATCGATAATCAATTATCGTAAGTTGGAGTCGATTATGCATTGATCGAGAATCAATTCTCCTTCGTTGAAAATCAATTATTATGAACGAGATTCGTTTTTCATAGTCAGATAATCGATTTTCAGCTCACAAAGAATCAATTCTCTGTAACAACCAAAACCATGCACTTGACCCTCTCACCCACTACACAGACCAAAACCAAACTATAACTTGCCACGAGAACCCTTATCCGAACGAAAACCACAGCAATGCAAGCTCACCAACAATGTATAAATGACCTTTTCTCATATGTATTTAATGGTAGCCAACCTCCACCTACCATGGTTAATGTTCCCTGTCAACATGGCCTGCCTCATGCATTTGCTCCTCTACATGATTCCTTGCCAAGTAAGAACAAATCTCTGCTTTACATGGATGCCAAGTTTTTTCAGGTCCATTTACATGTATGTTTAACTTTCCAAAAGAGATACTATGTGTGGATTCCATACATTGTGTTTTTACGTGGAATACGTAAATTATCATTGGATAATATGTGTTTATCGGTATATCTCTTCGTTTAAGCATATGAACTTTCATCCCACTGTCCCTTAAATCAACACTTGTATATTCTTTCAAATTATTTGAAACAAATAGATATAATACTCACTTTTCTATCTTTCTGAACAATAAATCATCCAAAATAACACACAGAGGGTTAGAGAAGACTTCTATCTTTTATTAATATTAATATTATTATTATTATTTAATTTCACTTTCATCTCATACAAAAAAAATAGCATAAAAAAAGCTCATAATAAAAGTGTTTATTAGGTTAAATTGGAATGATGAATCTAATACTTAAACCAAACTAATTATACCGACTCAAATTAATTTAAAATTTTGTCTACTTCAATCATAAAACAAACTAATTATAATCAGCTCAATTATTTTTTTTGTTTTTTTTTTCAATTCCAATTAGTTCATCATTCAATTGCTAAAAAAACCAAGAATCTGAAAATGATGTGGACATCTCAAAAGGACGTGGACAAGACATCACAAAACTAATTAGAAAAGGTAAAATGGTTTCAAATTGATGAAAATGTTTGAACTAATACTTATAATTTATTTGAACTATTTAATTAAATGTAAAATTTTTCAAGACAAAAAACTTAATTATTTTTAGTTTGACTTGTAATTGGACAATTTTATTACACCATATAACTAACTATCAAACTCTTATATTATTTATTAAAATTATAATTTTGTTCTAACAATTTAAATACAGTAGAACCATAATTGAACCATTAATATTATTTTTGCTTTCGTTGTCATTAAATCGAAGTTTACATCCATTGGATGGAAGGGAAATAGTCCCGAGGAACCACAAAGACAGAGCGCAATAAACATCAATAAAGAAAATCCAAAAAAAAAAAAAATGGGAGGGAAATGAAATTGAAAGTGGCAGTAAGGCGGCAATAAAGGGTATTATATACCACCATTCCTTATCCTCTTCTCTAATCTAGCTTATCACCCACTCATTATCTCATTCTCTCTGGAAATCAATTTTGCTGTTTAGGTTCTGAGATAGAAGAAATGAAAGGTACTGTTATTGATCTAAAACTCTATATCTTCACTTTTCCAATTGTTGTTCCAAAGCTTTGTTTTGATGTATACTAAGTTAGGGCTCGGTTTGGTTTCGTTATAATGTTCTCGTCGCTTGGGTTCGTGCATTTTTTTATTTTATTTTGAACTTGAGGATCTTAGTTTGTTGTGACCAGATCTAGAAATTGGAAGAGTTTTAAAGCATGCATGTTAATACAACAAAGAAATTAAGATCCAAGGTGAAATACTGATAAATATTACAATCCGAAAATAGTCAATTGAAAGGCCTAAAATTCAATCTAGAAGAATATTGATGAGTTAATTTATACTGAGTTCTCGCATAAATATTCTTCTTTGATTGTCACGGAGCTAAAACGCATATTTGGTGACTTTGTTACAGTACACGGGTTACAAGATAAATATTAAATCACATTTTTTGGTTTGAAGATTTACCGGCCTTCTTAGGTTTCGACAACGATTCTGGCTGTTCTTTATTTTGTTTCGATTTCTTTGTTGATTTTGACTTCTTTTTGGTATTGTCCTTCTTCTTAGGCTTCTTGCTACGTGGGAAGTGAAGTCTAGCCAACAGAGGACGGGGTGCTCTACTTGTCCTGTCAAATCCTCGCACGCAAACATATCCTGCAAAACATTTTCACTGCCTTATTAAATATGTAAGGTTACTTGTCACTTGCTTTTCTTATAGATTATCTATGCAGTCATTCTATTATGAGAGTATATATATATATATATATATATATATATATATATATATATATATATATATATATATATATATATATATATATATAATGTATTTGCAGAATTTTTCAATCTGAGAAGAGCATATGGAAGGTCAACTATATGAAATGTCTGGAGATTGAGGAGAACCAACCATGATTGCTTGCTAGATTATTATGAAAGACATCGGTCAGATTTCAAATGCTAGAGAAAATTTCTACCGAGAGTTGCTATCAACCTTGAATTCAGACTTCCATTTTGTTCGGACTTTTGACCAATGGGTATCACTGCCGGAGGTAAACTACATGGTTGGCTTTACCAGTAAGAAGACCTAGAAGTTGTCCATATTGATTTGACCGGGTTAAAAGTTCTCAAATGCCTCAGGCTTAGACGTTAACTATATGATAAAATATGCTGAATTTTTTAATTCTCGTAAATGAAGTCATGTCTCTAATAGATTGAAATGGTGATGAGTGTGGCACATACTGTGAAATTGCTACACACTGCACTATCCTATAGATAATTATGTTTTAATCTACTAGCAATAGACATGATTGTGGCATCCCTCATGTGCTGAGTGAATAAAGTCATACAATTGTGTTAGGTTTTCTCCCTTTGACCTATTAGTAGTTTGCCATCTAATGAAAGTTATTATTAAAATATAAATAGGTTGAATAGGGATATTGAATAACAATAAGTAGAATTACATTCTGGGAGCTAAATCTTACCTCTCCAAAAACATTGTTGAATTTCTTGTGTTGATAAATCTGGTTGACAAAAAAAAAAATAGACTCAGTTTTTGTTTGATCAATTATAATAGGTTAGCTTTTCAGTGGTTACCTTTAAATATGGATGTTACGGAGGTTCCAAAATACACTTTTCTCCTGTCAAGGTTCCAGATCCAGCTGCGGGGAACACTAATTGGGTTTATACTGGAGTCATTATCAGCGAAAACCTGCATCACATTACATATTTGGTACTTAAATTACAGACAGATAAGGGAATTGGGTTTTTGATAATGAGTCACAACACTCTTACCTCATTTACTTGAAAGTATGTCCCATTTAGTGGAAAGCTTCCCCTCATAGCTGTTCGACATGGTATCTGTTCATAAATTATTTCTAGTCAGCCTACATAATATTTGCATTGTATGTGAATTATTTTCCTACCCAACCCTCTTTTTCACTATAATATTGTTAATAAATATTAATAACAATGCATAGTAAACATTCAGACCAGTATTGTCCCTCGAACTATCTGTGAATTTGCTTCACAGAGACTACTGCATGCAAAACATTCATCTTCTTTACAAAGCTGGTCATAGTTCTGAGAGCTGCATTTTCTTTCTGGTGGCTGTATGGAATCTGCTTTCTCTCCTGTTATTGACATTAAAGTGGTAAAATGGAAAATGTCAGAACCAAAATAATCATATATTGTAAACCATCCCAACTTATACTGCTGTAAATGCCAACACAAACATCTACCAATCCACATTAATTTAGAAAGAACTTGGGGATTAAGTTAATTGTTACCTGGAGCCCATATTGCTAGGAGGTATTTGCCTGGATCATCAGTTTCTCGCTGTTCCCACTGTAGTTCATAACTAATTAATAAGATGGGTATATATTGTAAAACACTAACTATGGTTAATAGACAAAACAATAACTAACCCCATTCAGAAGAGGATGTGAATCAGGGAGTTCATAACTGCTTAAAAGAGAACAAAATACAAAATATCAGAAGTGCTAAGAACTTATCACTAGTATAGGATGACAGTGCTCAGAATTCTGCAAAGGAGGAGTGTATTGAATGTGAGGTTCTTGTTAATTTTTTTTTCTTGAGGTTAACTCTTAAACTTTGCAAGTTTAAAGTTTAGTGAGATTCTGGGCAAATGCAAAATCGTTTCATATATTACAGTTATTGCTTTTGCAATGCTTACTAATTTATTTGCCCTTCTTTTCATTATTTAGTTTTTTATTTTTTTCCAGTATTAAAATTGTGCAATTCAGGTAATTAGTCTGAAATGAATACTCTTTCTCACTTACACATAATGCTCTGTTCTCAACCTGCTCACATCCTTCAGCTTTGGTGTAGAAATGGATGCAACATTTGGATGTAGGGCGACCAATGCCTTTGACATTTCACCTTCTTGAAGTTCCATGTTTTGTTGCATATAGTTTTGTACGTTCAGAGTGAACTCTTCTATGTTTAGATTGGTTGTGGGAATTTCACATGATTCTTCTTTGAAGGCATCCTCTATATCATTTTGTGGTGGTTGATAGCGTTCTGGCTCTGGAGTTGTTGGCATTTCAACGAAAGGTTCATTTTGTAGTTGCATGAACACTTTGGTATGTTGAAATTCCTCTTGGATTGTATCTTCAGGGAAAGGCAAGGGCAGCTTATTTATAACTGTTGATGGGTTCTGCTGAGCTGCTTTTTTTCGAGATGTGAGTTCTTCTTCCTTTTCCTCTGGTCCTGGCAGGGCAAGCCTTGCACTGCAATATTTAACATTGTTTACTTGTAAATTAGTCTATCATAATTTGTAACGTACTATGCATGCATGTTGTTTAATCTTGAAAGTAATCTCATAATTGTGATATTTAAGTTTTCAGTTGAGGATAAAATGCACTTAGCTTGCGGTCTATATAATGAGGCATTAAGCATAATCATTCTGGATATGTGAACTTGATGTAATTATAATGAGGCATTAGGCATAATCATTCTGGATATGTGAACTTGATGTAATTTTCTGACAATAATATTTGCAGTGTTTCTAGTGTTCGTGTTGGGAGTTGTGGGTGATGATGTGTTGCATAACAATTGCCCCCCTCTATTCTACACGTAATATGTGCAGAGAATCTTAGTTTATCTAAGGCATACCTTGCAAAGGCACTGGCAAAGTGTCTGCATTCCCCTCTCATTGGGCATGCATTGCAATTTGGTTTGTTTTTAGTACAGAAAACCTGCATGAATTGATCTTTAGTTTCTGTTCCAATCATAACAAGGTTTCACATAAGTAGGGCAAGTCTCTCAAATATGAGGAAATGTAGCTTACCTTTCCAAATGTAATCAGCTGGTAATGCAGCTCATACCTTTTATAAATAGCACCAAAACATGGAAAGACTAATCAATAAATATATAGTCTAGTTATGTGCAGAAAATTGAATTGCAAATAAATCATTACAGTGTTCTTTGGTCTAGCTTGCAGAGTCGAGGCCAGAGATATTTTTGTACGGATGTCAATACTGGATACCTATAACGTACAATGGTGTCAGTGTACTCTTATTTCTAATTGAATCACTCCCTTATCATTTATTATTGCGGCACTCACAATTCTAGAAGATGCAGCTGTAGTGACTCCGGCAGTGGCTGGAGTGGAACCCATCCCAATCGTACTGCTATTCTTGCAACATTTGTGTCCACCTTGTATAGCAATAAACTGTCAAAATATGTTCCATTTTCCTCAAAATTTGAACTACTACTTTCAACTTACCGGAAAAGCAAGATGGTGCAGTGTCAAGAGTCGAACACACTCGGTACTTTTCAATCCCAATCCCAGTATGCTGAGCAAAAATTCTCTGGAAGTATAAATTGAGTTAATATTGTGTTTTTTCTGCTTGCATGAATAAGCTCTAGGTAATTGGGTGTGTGCATATATATATATATATGTTGCTAGTGAGTTGAGGGTTCAGTATTTTGGTTTTGCCGAGTCTACATAGAAATATGATTTCAAAGTTGTTTGACAAATCTCTAGACTTACTTTGTCTGGTCAGGTGGAACATCTCTGAGCCACTCAAGATCAATGGCCTTGTGCTTGTCAACCATTCGATTCAGGAAACTCTGCACAGTTATTTGTTTGACATAATCTGATAGAGGTTTTCACTGTCTGATTAATGAAGACAAATAATATTGAAGGATCTTAGAATCTACCTGAATACGATCAGCAAGCATGTTGTTCATGCCCCTTTCTTTGATTATATTGGAAATTTCATTGACATCTGCTCGTCTAACAGCATCCCAGTCCACAGTGTCCATGTTGTTCTCTGACCTTTCTCTTTTTCCTGCTTGAGCCTGTGCTTTTATTCTTAAACTATCCCAATCAAAATTATCTATTTTCTCTTTTTTCTTCTTTTCCTCTTTTCTCCCTTTTTCTTCTTTTTTCTCTTTTTTCTTTTTTTCTTCTTTTTTTTCTTTTTTTTCTTTTTTCTCTTTTTTTTCTTTTTTCTCTTTCTTCCCTTTTTTCTCACTTTTCTCTTCTCCATGCTTCTTGGTTCTTGATCTTATGGGGGTAGAATGTATCTTTTCTTTTTTATTCCCCATTTCATTGTTGGGGTCACCAAAATCTAATTTCCTTTCTTTCTGCATTGGATCTTGAGTTTGTCCTAAAATGTGAAAAAAAAAAATAAAAAATTATGCTAGTCATTGTTAATTTGTTGCAAGGGATGAAGTTGAGATATCATACCTTGAGAATGAACAATTGCAGCTTGGGGGTAAGACGCTGTTGGAAAGCTAGATATCTTGTCATTCTTGCCCTTATCCTTGGAGGATCCATTTGATGGGACTTGTATTTGCAGAGGTTTATAACAGTTAACTGCAAGTGTTTCTGAATTTGGGATTATTTCAGATGTATATTCATTGGTGATGGGTACATCTACCGAGACTCGAGTAACATCTGATTTACCCAAGTTTTCTACCAGGTTGGCATGATTCCAGTCTATGGAATGATCATATGCATATCTAAAGTTCTCAGGTGACTTGCTTCTTTGACTATTAACTTTGTGCATCATGGTTGAACTTGCCATTTCTAAAAGCTCTCTGAATGAAGTCCTGTTATGATAAATATTGTACTGGGCAGCACTTGACAAGTCTTCTATTTCTGAATTGCTATCTGCGAATGATCCTAACTTCTCAGGATTTTGATCAATCGAATGGTCTCCTGATATTTGAGATGTAATGGGGGAGCATTGGGGTGAAAATACATCATTTAACTCCTTCCTAACACTCCCAGAATTTTGATCAATCAAATGGTCTCCTGATATTTGAGATGTAATGGGGGAGCATTGGGGTGAAAATACATTATTTAACTCCTTCCTAACACTCCCGTGGCATAAATTTTCTTTCCCTTCCTCAGTCACGACACTAATTGCTCCACTCTCCACTCGACTAAGTTCACTTTTATGTCTTTGAGCTGATTCAAACATGTTGCTGTTTGATTCATCCTTTATCATAGAATTCAATTCACAACCAGATTGATCAAATATTTTCTTTTTCAGATTTTCATTTTCTTCAGGCTCCACAACACACTCTTGTGGTTCATTGACTGTGAAACTTGTGCTTTCCTTGTAGCATGTTTTGTGGTCACTGTTTGATCTTAGAGGAAATCGAGCAGCAAGGGACATGAATGCAGAACTGCCAACACAAAAGAAAAAACAAAAAATAAATGTGTAGTTTGTTTTAATGGTATGTTTCTCAGTAATTATGCTTGCATAATTTTTTACCTGGAAAGATGGTCTGAGACATTTTGAGTGAGGAAAACTCCTACCACAGAATCCACAACAGAGCCCTTCCACATAGAAAAACGCCTGTCTCCTGTTGAATGTGTTATATTATTAGTATATGAACTGTGCTACTGAATTTATAAAATGGATAAAAGCATGTTTAGGTTAATTTGTGATTAATTTGTTTTGGATAATTAGTTTATTTACTCTATCTTCAAAAACCTCCAGTTTAATGTATTTTAGCTTTAGCATTTGATTAAAATTGTTGGTTGTACCTTGTTGGGTGCCCTACATTGGCTTGCTTTTTATACAAATTATGTTTGTTGATAAAATTCTTTATAAATATTTTTCAGAAAATGACTTTTAAAATATCTGCAATCTAAATTCTAGAATAACTAATCATATTTTATTTTTTTGTTTAGTAGTATGAATGCATATACCTTGTACAAGATGCATCCTTGCAATAAATGAGTCTGCTCGTCCATGAAACACTTTTCGTTCTTCTTCCCACCATTTGGCCTTATCTGTCTCACTTCCATCAATCCCAGGCCTGTTAATATCTGCCAGTAAAAGCGTGCAGACTCTATCGGTCTCCTTATCAATATCAACTTTAGCTCTTGTGATCTGCATAATTTTGGCATCAGATGGTTTCTTGTGGGGAATAATGGTCCTATCAGGCTCTTGAGTTTCTCTGTTTATGGTTAGGCATCTAAACTGCTCTGTTAAAGCCTCCACAGTATGTATCTTTTTCCATATGTCTTCAGGGGCAATACCTGCGTCAATCATTTCAAGTAATAAGACAATCATCATGATCTTTTTGAAATAATTAATGTTTCAGTTGAAATACCTGATGTGTTGTGTTGTTTTTCATGTGTACAGGAAAAAGTTGAATTTACTGGAGTACTTCTCTTTCTAGTTCGTTTCTTTTTTGTGAGTGTTGCTCCCATATCTGCAACTAAAGCATCAATGCACGTCTGTGGTCTTTTGGCATCCATAAATGTTTGTCTGTTGGAGCTACATTTCTGCTTTGCATTATGAGCTGGATGGGCATGAATTCTGGTAGAAACTCTTGATCTTCTTTTGGTCGGTCTCTTCTGCCCTAAAGACAAGTTGTACTCAAGGGATTGAAGTTTATCATGAATATCACTTTCTATAGCTGTAATCATGACTGGGAGTCCAGCTGCACTATACTCCGAAACAGAATTCCAGCAGTTGGGACTTGACACATGAGAATGTAATCTAGCATCTTGTAAGTATGTGGCCGGTTCTACATCTTTTGTGGCAGTCACAGAAGATTTACAGGATGTACTTGAAGTTCTCCCCTTTTCACTTCTCCTTTTCTTCTGAACATTTTGAAACTGAATCACATAGTCCTGGCAATATGCCTGCTCAGTATAATACTCTGCTCCAATCATATTAATGCTGCTGCTATTATCCTGCTCAATACTAGGTTGTTTTCTCTTTGAACCAACTGCTTGTACTCCATATTCTCTGCTAAAAAATTTACCGTCGTTTGGACTCAGTTGTGCTCTTGAGCAGCTGTTATAGTTGAGATTTGGGTTGGTCCTAAGGAAATTGTATTTTTGATAAAGATAGGACTGCTTTTCTTCAATCACCACTCTGGTGTCTTTGTCAAAATTCCTCGTTTTTCTATAGCCAGCATTTTCTCTTGCTTGTTCTCTTGTATCAAAATTTAAAGACCTTCTACACGTCGTATTGGCAGATTCAGAAATCCATGGTTTAGTCATTTTTTCTGTCACTTCTGTTTGAGGAGTAAAACTTGTTTTCAGTCCTTTTCTTCTCTGCTTCCTCTTGTCAGTTGGGTTTCCTTTTGACTGAACAGACTCTGCAGTGACTTTCTTGCTAGTTCTTCTGGGTTTGCTTTCTTTTATGACTTTGGGGCGATGCTTTCTTCTTTTGGATTTCGGTAGAGGTGTTTTATTCAGATCAAAATCATGGTTTAATTCCTTTTTATGGTTGTGATTCTCAATGTGTAGTGTAGATTCAGCAGCAACTTCTCTAGTCAGGTCATATATGATGCAGTTTGGATCATTGTGCTTCGCCGCTGGGTTTTTCTCTTTCCCCTCTTGAAACACTGTGTCTTCTGCTGCCCTGGTGTTATCTGGATGTGTTGCAATTTGGGGAAATTCCTTGCTAGAGTAAGGAAAGTATGACGAACCTGTGACAAGACATTGTTTCAATGTTAGTTAGAGTTTGATTATTTCAAGTAACTGTAAAACAATGTTGAACATGTGAGACTCGTGTTTTATGATTATTTTTTAACATCTCTTTATTTCCTTTTAAGTTGCATATGCACTCAGTTTCTTATCCAGAAACTATTTTTCTATATTTTATTATTCCAACAAAAACTAATCTTTATTTGGAGTCATGATTGATTGCTTAACACAGCATCAGAAGTAGTGTTACCACATTCTACCTTTGATAAGCATAATTTATAAACACATTCTAAATGAATCACTTGAGTTAGAAAAATGCTTTAACAACATCATCAGAAGTAGTGTTACCACATTCTACCTTTGATAAGGAGAGAAAAATTTAAGTCTAACCCATGCATAAAAACACAGCTATTTAAGTTGGAGTAGTGTTGCCACGTCCTATGTAACAAGGATGTCAGTCATTGCACAAGGATGATGTAGAAGGAAGACAACAACATGATGCAAGATGAAAATTTTTGGTGGTAAATGCAATAGAGGATCTAAGTTCGTTTCTCACAATTGATTTAGTTCAAACATTTTCAGTCTCTTCAGCTGATGCACATGGCTGGAGAGCAGATCCTCTCCAATGAAAAAAAAAAGAGACATGAAATTAAATTTTTTAAATTTTAATTGATTAATGGTTAAAATAATCCGAAGTGGTGATGTCACCATGCAGAGGATCAATTCCCCAGTAATTGACACCGGTCAAGCGCTTGTGCATGTTGTGCAAAACAGTTCACAAATGAATGTTTTAAAATAATGTCACATAGAAACTCTAAAAGAAAATTGATTGTTCTTACCAGGGAGATCTGGATACTGGTTATGGATGGGATTGACAAACGGTTGTTCAAGAGGGAGTAGTGGATGATGATCAAATGATGTAAAGGTGGGGTTGAACTGTGGATGATAAGGAGAAACAAATTGGTTTAAAAGCTCTTCGTTTGTTACATTAAAAAATGCGAATGGATTATCTGCCCCTGTCCAAAGTTCAGCAATGCTGTTGCTTGAACTGGGAATGTCAAAAGATGTGTGTAAGGGAGTTTTGGCATTGTGATGGGCCAAAGCTGGAGGTTCTGAGCGGTGGAGAGGCCAGTTGTTCATCTCTGCAGATGCTGAGGGATCAAACACTGCATGTATCCCATTGGAATGATAAAACAACTGCTTTCCCACTTCAGGAGTCCAGATCGGCATTGGTCTTGAAACAATGGGTTTCAAAGGGGTGGCAGGGACGGGGACCCAAGGAGGAGTATCTTGAAGCTTCCTTCTCTCTGATTCCCCAGTCTCCATTTACTTGCTTTAGACCTCTCAGTTAGAACACTTGTGTAGAAAGGCTCGACAAAAGGATTTGGCAAGCAAAATACCTAGTGAAACTGTTTCGGCGTTAACGTCTTCTCGGTGAAGGGGCAGTATTTATCCTGTCTTTTGTTTTCAGAGAGGTCCCAATTTCAAGGTCTATTATCGAGGACAAACCTGGCAGGAAAAATAAAAGTGAATTAATAAGAAAAATTAAGTCGAAAACATAGATGCAGTTTCGTAACATAAATCGAGGCGGGTTTCTGAATTACCTTCTGAAAGTAACCGGTGACTGACAAAGCTGATGCTAGTCCATATAATAATTACTGAAATTAATTAAATTTAAAATCCCAAAGTTTGCCTTTCTATGTGTTGTCAAGAAGGCTGCATACCATAAAAAATATTTGCTGATTCTACTTCAAACCTCAGTTTTTAGCTCGCGGTGAATAGGAGCTTCCCTGTGACCAAAATCAAAGTTGAAGCAGAAAATGAGAGAAATTCATGAGGATGTTGTTAAGGTAGATATATTGAGTGAACATCTGATTTCATACATCTATATGCAGTAAAAATAAATAAATCATTCTCCACCGAACATTGATGTGAGAGAAGAGGAAAGAGAGAATCTACACAGATTTCTATGTACTTGCATATGCATCCTGAGCTACTTTAATTTACTTTATAACTTCTATTCTCCTTCCAGACCCTTTTTTTTTTTTTCCTCTTTTTTAATTCGATTAAGGTGTACTTCTCTGCTTTGTCTTATGTTACATTTAATCCGAAAGATAAAATGAGACAAAGAAGAATGATACATGCACGAAAGTTTGCATGTACATATGTTTCACGTAAAGTTCGTCAACTTTACGTGAACACGGTTTTGTAGGTGTTTTTTTTATGATGAAGATATATAACGTACTTATCAATAATATATATATATATATAAATAAATAAATAAATAAATATATGATAAAAATAAAATAACTATTTAATGAATTTGACTCAGTTTATAATTTTTAAATTATTTTAATATGTTGATAATATTTATAAATAAAAATGGGAAAGATGTTTGTTAAAAATAAAAATATTAATTAGTCTTTGTAAAAAAATTTATTATTTTTATCTTATAATTAATATTTATAAAGTTAATATCAGTTTTTAATTAATATCCTTATGTAACACAATATGGAGGTTGTTAATTCGTTTACTCCTAGCCTCAAAATAAACCGTGTTAAATTATATAATACTTAGAAAATGATTTAATATACAATATTACATATTCTTTATTTAATAATTTTGAATACAGTATTTATTTTAATAATTTATTTTACTTTTGAAGAAAGTCAGTGTTTTTTTAATTAAATGGAGTTCATAACAAATAGTACATAATTAATGAGTGTTGTGGAATATTTTCTTGAAATTTGTATTGAAATACTAGTGATAATTACTTATTTAATTATTGTTTGATGATTAATTCAAAAGTAAACTTAACTACATTTTTTAAACAAAGCATATATGTTAATGGCTAAAATTATGTTCATTTAATACCTATTAATAGACTTTGAGAATAAGTTACCATTTGATGCTTATACACTCTAGTATATCTATATATTCCGCTCTTATGGTACTTATAGTTTAGTTAACATAAATATTTTCTTATTTGATGTAATTAAAGCAAGTTAAGTAGATGTTACATTCTTCAATTGATTTAAAAATTGATACATTAAGTTAAACTTTTAAAGTTGTACGGAAAAGTAATTTAAAAATTTATAACTTAAAATCATATATTATATAAGATAAGAATGCAATTATCCATTATTTACTTTCATTAATAAAAAATTTTCCATTAATCTTAAAAAAAAATTATTTTTATACTTATTCAACATGTTGTTTTTAGAATATAGTTAATATTTTTTTTAGAAAAGAAATCTATATAAAAAAAATTAAAGATCACTGTTTCTATTAAATGATATTAAGTATATATTTTTGTTAAATATAGTATGATTCAGAACAACAATCCATGAAATAATAAAAATGAAGATTGTAATGAATATTTTTGTTAAATGTATCAGAAACCCTACAACATGAAATAATAAAATGAAGATTGTAATGAATAAAAAATTTTAAATGTATCAGAAACCCTACAACGACGTGACCTAATCTTAGACTTGTTCACAAACAAAAATGAATTTGGTTCTACCTTGTTCTGTCACTGTTTCACTCTGTCACTGAAATAGATGACACATTTTGTTTGTTCATGTGTGGAAGTTAGTTCACGTACTTGTTGAATATTAAACCACGTCACATCTAATCTAATGTTTTTTTCTTATTTGACATGAATATTAAACCACGTATATGTATATTAATATCTGTAAATATTTTTTTAAATAAAAAAATTATAATGGAAATGCAAGCTAGTTCATTTTAAAGGATTACTTATTATGCTAGTTTAGGTTAATATATACTGTACTGTTAAAACAATAATAAATATAATATATGTGATTGATTTAAATATTATGTTTACAAACTTTTATATATATATATATATATATATATATATATATTTAAAAATATATTATTACTATTATTAATTAAATTATATAAATTAAATTATTTGATGATATTTTTCATAGTAATGTATATATATAATGTAGATTATAATGAAAGCAATTATCAACTCCTTAGCTTATTTATAGGACAATCCCTATCAATTTGTATGGTCGAGGTTGTTTCTTCTAGGATGTTCTAGCACTTAAAACTTGTATTAATCTCCCTCTATACATTCACACCTCATGACAATAGTACTAGATTATTTTAGATAATTTTTCTTTAATCAATAGTTGAAAACCAAAACTTTTTATCTACAATCATAGTGTTATGTTTAAATCATAAATAAAATAAATTATAATTTATTTAGAATAAAATTTATATCACTATTAATTTATCATTTTATCATACATATAGATAAAGTTAAGAAAAGCTATAACTTTTTATCCAAAGGTATAATTAGATATACAACGTTATCTTCAAATAAATCAATAAAAGTTTAATAATTCAGAAGTTAAAAAAAAAATTATGTCCAATTAAATATTTATTCATTTATTTCACATTATATTTATCATTTATCATAACAAGTAGGTTCAAATCATATTTTTTTTTATTATTCATAATAAAATTTATTGTTAGTTGAATTTTTATCATTATTTCAAAATCACTGCTACCATTTATCATTTATATATAATCCATAATTCTATAATAAAATTTAAGTTCAAACTAGATATTTCATCATTTATTTTATTTTAAAATTACTTCTACAATTATATAACGGGATGTATCATCATATAATACATCTCATATATGATAAGTAACTTTCATGGATAGAAGCACAGCTACATGCATTGGCACAAAAAAAGGTGATTGATGACACATAATCAAACTCATATCAAGATGAGTTAAATTTTTTGCATGGACTGACAACCATTTTAGCATAATTATTTCAGTTATTTTTTTAGGATGAAGACAATCATATGGAAACACAGGCCATGGCACAAGACAAACGTTATCTTCATTGACCGCAGAAATCTGGGCAAATTACACCATCACACGTTTAAAACTTTGTTCTGATGAGCAGTTTTAATCAAAGTCATGCACACTTATCTTACGTTGCTATATAGAAAAAGTTATCCACAGTTAAATCAGATCATTAACAAGAATTAATACTTTTGAAAGATAATTTATTTTTTATTTAATTTTCTAACCATAAAATAGATTTTAAGTGATTCAGACGAAACTCTAAACCATAATTCTAATTTAATGTATTGGAAAAACTTGAGGTACATATTAATAAATACTTAAGGACATTAGTTAAGAATATTTATTACTTTTATCAAAATATAAAAGTTAGTTAATATTTTGTTTCTTAGCATAATGTATTTAATGTTTTTTAATAAATATATCAGTCTATTTTATGTTTGATAAAACTTGGATGTTAGTTAAGACATGAAAGTTACTTGAAATGTAAAGGTTGGATATACATTAATTTTTTAACTAGTTTATAACATAAAATTATTCATAATAAATCAATTAAATAAGGTAGTGTAACATCTTCTTACTCATAATAAATGAGTTAAAAGAGATTTGTAATTATTTTTTAACATTTTTTTAATATTATTAACCTCTGAAAAAATTACATAACTGTTAAATGTTGTTTACTGACAAAAATATCGCTTTGTTACCTGAAATGGTGGTTCAAGTTGTAATTTTACTCCATGATAGTTATCTGAAAATTATAATACACAATAAACTGTTAAAGACTATGGTACAAAAGTGAAATAAAAAATAAAATTTTAAGATGATTTTTTTTTTAAATTATGTACATAAAGATTATGACACTTATTATATTATAACATGGTTATAGATACATGTGACTAACTTTTGTCCGATTATGTAACATTTACACGTCAAAACCCAATGGAATCAAATTACGGTTAAGGTTTACTCCTGATAACGTTAACTTACAAATTCATTTTTAGATAAAACAGAGTGTTCTGTAAAAAAAGACTACTTCAAAATACAACGTCATGTAAAATATTCAAATAGTCCAATATAAAAGGGATGAAGAATATCAGAAAAGGATAACATTCGTTATAACATCCATTTAGTGAAATGTACATTTTTGTATAACATATCTTCTTAACATTCTACACATAGTTACTTAGTAATAAAAAACACTATGTTTACATGCATCCTGTTTATTCATAAATAAATAATTAGTTTTTTATTAAAAATTAGGATAAAAAATAAATTAATTTTATTGTTATATTTAAGATTTTGTTAGTATTAAAATGTTTTTGCTATTATTATATTACTATTATAAAGTATTCATACAAGAATAAGAGAGTTGCATATACCAATATACTTGTTTCAATAATATTACCTAATTTCAATAAGAGAGTCCCTCAACCAATGAACCTTTTTTTTTCAACTGTCTTTAATTTTTTTTCCTCTGCCAAGTACATTTTGGCATTTTTAATGGTTAAGATTCATGTTTAGATTTCATTGATATTATTAAATAATTAAATATGTTTTTGTTCAAATTGGTCCGTAATTTTTAAAAAAAAATTTCTTGATTTTTTAAAAGTAATATATAATCTTTGTCAATTTTGTTTAAAAATGTTAACAATGTATAATATAATAATGTCATGATAACTAAAAGAAAGAAAAAAAAGCATATTCATATGAATTAATATATATATATATATATATATATATATATATATATATATATATATATATATATATATATATATATATATATATATATAATTCTAGTCATTTGCATATATCTTACTTTAAATTTTGATGGAATAATGGTACAGGTAATATATATATGGTTCAACATCTTAAATTTTAATATATAATGAGTTACGTAGCATAAATAATAAAATTTTATGTTATAAATTAATTAAATAAGATAATACAACATCTTAAAATTAAAAAGATAAAAGAGTTAAGGATTTTTTTTAATATTATTAACACGTGAAAGGTTATATAACGGTAAAATGTTTTTACTGACACAAATATTCCTTTGTCGGTTGACATGGTGAGGTGGATTCCATAAAAAACACATTCCTAAAGACTATGATGAAGTTTAACCTACTTTTCTAAGCCATTAAAGACTCTCAACCAAAAAAGAATAAAGTGCAACAAGATTTGGGAAATTGTTCAAAATTACAAACTTTATGTTCAAAATTAAATCTGTTAGAGACTATAATTCAAAAAATGAAATAAAATTCAAATTTTAAACATAAATATATAACGTACTTATCAATAATATATATATATATATATATATATATAAATATATGATAAAAATAAAATAACTATTTAATGAATTTGACTCAGTTTATAATTTTAAAATTATTTTAATATGTTGATAATATTTATAAATAAAAATGGGAAAGAAGTTTGTTAAAAATAAAAATATTAATTAGTCTTTGTAAAAACATTTATTAATTTTATCTTATAATTAATATTTATAAAGTTAATATCAGTTTTTAATTAATATCCTTATGTAACACAATATGGAGGTTGTTAATTCGTTTACTCCTAGCCTCAAAATAAACCGTGTTAAATTATATAATACTTAAAAAATGATTTAATATACAATATTACATATTCTTTATTTAATAATTTTGAATACAGTATTTATTTTAAAAATTTATTTTACTTTTGAAGAAAGTCAGTGTTTTTTTAATTAAATGGAGTTCATAACAAATAGTACATAATTAATGAGTGTTGTGGAATATTTTCTTGAAATTTGTATTGAAATACTAGTGATAATTACTTATTTAATTATTGTTTGATGATTAATTCAAAAGTAAACTTAACTACATTTTTTAAACAAAGCATATATGTTAATGGCTAAAATTATGTTCATTTAATACCTATTAATAGACTTTGAGAATAAGTTACCATTTGATGCTTATACACTCTAGTATATCTATATATTCCGCTCTTATGGTACTTATAGTTTAGTTAACATAAATATTTTCTTATTTGATGTAATTAAAGCAAGTTAAGTAGATGTTACATTCTTCAATTGATTTAAAAATTGATACATTAAGTTAAACTTTTAAAGTTGTACGGAAAAGTAATTAAAAAATTTATAACTTAAAATCATATATTATATAAGATAAGAATGCAATTATCCATTATTTACTTTCATTAATAAAAATTTTCCCATTAATCTTTAAAAAAAATTATTTTTATACTTATTCAACATGTTGTTTTTAGAATATAGTTAATTTTTTTTTAGAAAAGAAATCTATAAAAAAAAATTAAAGATCACTGTTTCTATTAAATGATATTAAGTATATATTTTTGTTAAATATAGTATGATTCAGAACAACAATCCATGAAATAATAAAAATGAAGATTGTAATGAATATTTTTGTTAAATGTATCAGAAACCCTACAACATGAAATAATAAAATGAAGATTGTAATGAATAAAAAATTTTAAATGTATCAGAAACCCTACAACGACGTGACCTAATCTTAGACTTGTTCACAAACAAAAATGAATTTGGTTCTACCTTGTTCTGTCACTGTTTCACTCTGTCACTGAAATAGATGACACATTTTGTTTGTTCATGTGTGGAAGTTAGTTCACGTACTTGTTGAATATTAAACCACGTCACATCTAATCTAATGTTTTTTTCTTATTTGACATGAATATTAAACCACGACCACCACCGCGTCCTCGTCCATATGGACGAGGCACCCCCCTAGGATGTTCGTCCTGATTCCCGTTGCTTCTATACTCACCCCGTCCTAAAGAACAAAATAAATACGGACATAAATTTAGACAAAAAGAATTGTCAGGTCTTACTGGAAAGTGACAAGTGAAAACTATAGTCATTTAACCACCAAAGCTACAACATCATAAAGACTACATAACTCGACATAAATAATCTAATCAGTTCAATATCCAACTAGAATACCTGAAACGTAAAATTCAATAGATAAATTAAAAAAATTATACCTGTCCTGGAACCAGGAGTAGACGATCGATCCCTATCATAAGAGTGACTTCTCCTACCTCCCTCACTGTTTGAACCACCACCCCAGCCACTACCCACAGATGCACCTGACGAGCCACCAGCTGCAGGGCTTCGCATCGGTACCATAGCAGCAACAGATCTAATGGAAGGGGCCGAGTCATGCTGCGGATCATCAATATGCCTTTGAAAATATGCCACAAGCCGATCAATGTCCTCAAACATCTTTTTCCTGAACCTGAATCCTTTTGGGTAAAGCCCAATGTACTCGTGGTGAGGATTTGTACTTCTTATATAAGTTAATATAAATGTGCCAGGATGTTCGTGGGAGATGCCAAAACTATAGACAATGCGCATAGGATACTCAGCTTTCTCCATCCTCAAAAGTTCATCAACTTCTGCTTTTGTACCCTTTCGAAATTTGCGATAGTTTAACATTGCCTTTAAGTGAGCCACCAATGGATCAACATAACGGTCCATAACCTAAGCAACAACCAGTGGCAAATGGTTAGTCATATAATGACAACAAATACATCTAGAAATTTTGGGCATTTTACCTCATCCAAGTCCTCAAAAGTGTCATCTCCAATTTTTAGTGTCTTCCCGATTCGGAGCAAGCTTGTAATGTCCTTGTGTTCCTTCCCACCTTCAACTATATCCTTGTGGGCATATACTCCGTCATTAATTTTAAGAGTTAAAGTACGATATGAAGGTCCTCGTGAACTAGGACGGATAATACTTTCTCCAGGATCTTTATCCGACAAGAACTGCATAAAGACAAAGAGCATAGCTAAGCTAGCAAAATATTAATCATTAAATATTTGCTAAAGTAAAAAAACTAAATATTTAATGACTACTTGTACATGATATGGTATTTCATTATAGATCAAAACCTACCAAATTCCAAGTTCATCACACAGTGAACCCACAAAAAAAATTTAAGAGCTAGAAACCAATGGATTTTTTCAGTCTTCATTCGCTCGAAGAACCAAAAGTCAAACAAGCAAAATTAATTTATTCTTCAAAGCAAGAAGCAGCCAAGGAGCAACTATATAAAAAATATATATATATTAGTGTGAAGCCATCAAGGAACACATAAAGTTGGCATTGCAACTGGGCATAAAATGCCAAAAGTCCTGGGTAGCATATGTAAGCATCAACCACAATTACATAAATCGGTAGTAAGTCATCATATCCAACCAATTTTACAATCACATACAACCAACATGAACTCAACCAATAGAATATCAAGGTGCAATCGTCAAAACAATATTTTTTTCACAACCAAAGGATTGACTTTTAACTTCCACCTTCCAAGACATGTCAGGATGTGCATACACAGAACTAAGACAATTTCACAACTCAAAATCTCATTATGATTTCAATATGGTCAACAAAATACAAAATTTAACATAAAAAAAACTTGGCAACAAACCTCCATTGCTTCATCTGCAGTTATGTTCTGAAAGCGTGGATGAACAATCATCCTTGGCTTGAAATGCTTCTTTGCAAGTTCCTTTTCTTTCCTAGCTTTGTCTTGATCACTCTGAAAGCAGCTCCGATCTTCATGGTAATAGGGGTCAATATCACGGTTATTCTGTAACCTATTACTTCTCATTTCACTGTCCTTACAAACAAGGAAGACTTGATACCTATTCTTTTGGATTGACTTGATTTTACAAGTAAGCATGTCACCTTCATGTAGCCTATCAGATAATTCAATTACATCTCTCCAGTCATCCGTGTAGTCTTCTTTCAAGAGGATTCCTGTCATTCCAGATTCAAGCCCACATATTGCTTTCTGAGCCTGCACCCTGCGAACTGTGACTTGAACGATTTTGCCTTCAGCAAGGGTCTCTTCAGTCTCACCGGAAATCATATAGAATTCCTCATCCTGACTTGGTTCTTCATATTGATTGCGCCAATCCTGAAAACCTTGAATTAATTCTCTTTTTATGTCATAGAAAGTTTGTATTTTGTTCTGACGTTTTTTCCCAGAAGCATATTCCTCCACATCAAGATTTTTCAAATAACTAGGCCGGTCTCTCACATGCTCTATGGCCATCTCAAGTGCATCATCATCATCATTTGCATCACCTGTGCCATCTTCTTCATACACATCTTTTGCCAACTCTTGTGCCAGAATATAAGATTCAGGATGAATTCTTGTATCATCCAGCAAATCAATAAATTGACTGCTGCTAGCAGCCAACCCACTACGCCGGACACGCAAGAAACCAACCGCATTGACAAACACCTTTTTACCAAGTTTATGTTCTGTCAGAAAGTCCTTTCGAGTAAAAATAGCCCCAGCTCTTACCAGAGATCTCTGTAAGGATGCAGCCTTCCTTGGACCAAGCCCAGAAATAAATTGTAATGGAGCAAATAACCACTCATGACTTATTGCTAAATTAATGTCTAAACCAACCTGATTGGTCACATCTACCATAACCTGCTCAACCATAAAAAATTTATCGTCTTGGTTGAGAAAACTCTCAAAAGGGCTCAGTTTCCATGACATTATTTCCTTTCTAGGTCCACATAATGTCGCAACCATTGCCAATGGGTTCTGGAGATAACGCCCAAGAGCAACAGCCCGCCTCACTATACCTATCAAAGTAAGAAAAACATAATGTTATATGTATCAATGCAAAAAAATAGGTTGAATTATGGGATTCCTAAAGAGAAGGAGCAGCAAACAATCAAAACAATATTTACCTTGCTGTGAAGGAAGTTGTTCTGAGGAAATTCAAGAATTTTCATAAAGACGTGGAAGTGATTCATCTCCATAGACAATGCTGAGCCCATCCATTTCATGCCCACCATCTTAAAAATGACCTGATAAAAGTAGAGTAAACTATTTATAAGACCCACCATATGACAAGAGCCTTTTCCCACTAGGCAGAGAAGAATAATGAATCAAACAACTATAGGACCAATTATATGCAAATAAATTAGAACAATATGAACTAATGACACCATTACACTCAGGCAATTTATTAGAGCTTAATTTTAACTATCATATGTCATCAACTTACCCAGTAGCAGGTGAACATGTCCAATTACATTGAAAATGTGTTTTCTAATTAACTAAACCCAAGAGTTCATTCAACAAGGCAGATGTTTGAAAGGGCTACAGTATGATAAGGGATATTCAAACAATGTTTTTAAGAAACAATGGGCATATTAGAAACAATTGAAATCACAAAGTGCAGGATTAGAATTTAAATAGGATTGAGAGTTGATCATCCTATTTCCATGTAAGGTCAGGTGATTAGAATGAAATGGAACAAGAATTCCTACAGTGCAGGGATAAGTATTACATCCTCCAGTCCATTTCATCAACACACGACATAGAAACCAAGATGCTAACCTGGTATATATCGTCTTTCAAACGGGTGCAAGACAAGTTAACTGCACCTAAAACAACAACATGTGGTTGGTGATCAGTCATAAACTTCAACACTCGTTCCTGATCATTCTTCTTCCGTTGTTGGTCATTAACATTCTGTGACCTAAAAGTAAGGGAACCAGTGTAAAGCACATCTAGCACTTCTCCTGATGAATCTAACATGACAAAAGTTGTCTGTGGCTTTCCAGGTCCCCAACAGCATGCCATAACCCTAGGAGCAGCCTCATCATCTGAGCCAAGATCATTTTCCTTCTGTTGATAAGGTCCAACAGAAACCTTATTCCATAATGCCTTCCCATATTCAATAAGTAACCAACTTTTTGCTTTACTTGCCAATACACCTCTTGCCTCTTTTTCCATTGATGGTAAAAGGAATCGAAAAATAGCATCATGCAGTATCAACTTCCTTTGTTCATTCCACAGTTGAGCAGATCTGCTAACACTGTCACTAATATAATACTCATTGAATTGGTCTATCAACTTATTCAGATACTCCTCGGGCAACTTAATAGTAACTTGAATGAGTTTCTCCTCTTCTGCCTTACGTATAAGGAGCCATTGCATATCTTCAAACTTAGACAAAGGCTTCTCCCGTAGCCACTTCACCCCAGCAAACTGATGGAAAGAATCTATCGTTGTATTTCCATCAGCAGTAGGACAAGTTGACACAACTGCATGGTCAAGAAAGTGGCTACGAACATGCTTTCTAATGCTAGGTTCACAACTTATCTCAACAGCTGCCTGGAACAAAATAACCAACAAGATCAAACAATGGCTCCCTTAAAATGAGTAAGAACAAAGTTAGATACAAACCATGTGCCTGGCACATTTAAGTACTTCTTCAGGAGTATCATACATAGCACATGTGAAGTTAGAAGCCATCTCCTCTGGTGTTTCTTTTGGATCTTCCAACTCTTGCTACAGGGCATGGAGAACAAAAACTTTAGTATACAGTCAAAACAAACAGTAGTTCCAAATCAAAGTATACTTACAAGGTTAACTACAGTTAGACATAATCCAAGTTGCTCGGGACTACACCCAAACCTTCTCGCAACCTCCCATAGACCTGCCTTACTGAAAGTGCTATACATGGACTTTCTTTTCGGCCTCTTGTATTGTCCTTCATCAACACCAGCTTCACCTGGTGGGAAATGCAAGTTGAACTTGGAATCAACATCATCAACCTCCCTCTCAGACTGCTTCTTTCAGCGATCTCATCACTGATTCAAACAATTGGCGATTCAAGTTTAGTCTTGTTTCATCATACACGCGACGGGATTCTTCTTCGAACCGTTTACTATAGTATGACTGGAGGGCACTCTTCCGCTTCTGAAGAAGCAACCACTTCTTGTCCAAGTCCTGAAGAGCCCAAAGAACCTATTGCAATGCACAATGGATTCATTAGCAGAATTTTAACAAAATTACCAATATGATAGTACCAAAAGACTAGCAAAGTTCACAGACCTTGTGCCATTTCAGAGTAGGCGTCTTGTCATTCTCGTCACTAGCTTCAGGCTGCTCCAGGTCTTTTAATAGGCTTAAGCATTCCTCCTTCCGATACATAGCAATGAAAGGAATCTAAAGAAAAAAATTCTTCCTTAGGAAAATTAAGATATCATAAAACTAACAACTGATGCAATAAACTAAAGGAGGAAATATTACTGACATCTAACTTTTGCACATGATGAAGTTCCAAAAATCTGATAATATCATCCTTGTCGATTGGTAGGTCATCCTTTTCATTGTTTTGTGAGTTTGAGACCTTCTTGTAAATCCAAGGGACTGCTCCATTGCCAAGTTGATTAACTATCCATTGACTCTCTTCATCTATACTACTGCCATCCAATGGAGGAGCACCAGTACTCTCCTCTGATATCTAAAAAAAATAAAAAATAAAAAAACAGTTCATACAAAATGTCTTTCAGTTATTAGGAAACACAGAAGACCTGCATTCTCTCAGGAATATCAAGCTCCCTAATTTGGTCATCCTGCTCTGTCATATATTTCTCAGAAAGAACAATAGGCTCAAATTCATCTTCAAGTCTAGTCTCTCTGTATTCACTCATTTCAAGATTTTTCTGACGATTCAGAATCAACTCATCTGGATCACCAAATAATTCTTGAGCTTCTTGTAGAGCTGAGGAAGAAACTCCTGGAGCCTGCCTTGTTTTCTTTTTCTTCAGCTTCCTCTGCCTGTATAGAATAAGGTAACAGATCCTTAGATCAGATAATTGATTCTTAATTTCAAAAAACTATGAAAATTAAAATACCTCATGGGAGCTCCATTCTCATCAACTTCTTCTTCATCCACAATGAAGTCAGCCATTTCATCATCTTCTCCAATGTCAGCATCCTCTTCCTCTTCTCCTTGTTCCTCCTCTTCAGCAATGTCTTCAAGTGGAGCTCCTGTAATTCATGGAAGGCATAGTGGGCAATTGCTTTGTTATTGGTGCATGTATGAATGTGCATGGATTACTTGTGGCATACAAAATGTCATTTCACAAGGGATTGTTTGAATTTATTATACCAAGTAAAATGCCAAAAACCTACATTGAGAACCTAGAATACATCAAGACAAATACTTTCCGTACCTTTTACCAAGAATGTACAATTTTATCATCATTACAATCTAAGGAAATTTTCAAATAACTTCAATACTACTTTGGTAATCTCACTTTCAAGAAACATTTTACAATATTTGAAGTAAACTCTTCCTCACAAAATTGTTTTTCTAAGTTAAAAACTCCATGCTAGTGTGGAAAGTAGTCTTCCAACAACAATCAAGTACTGTCAACAAAAAACCAAAAGCATAAACCACCATAACCAGAGCACCTTCATCATCACCAAATAAGCTGCGTTTAAGCTTCTCCTCTGCAGTTTCGCCCAACTTTACCACTTCCAACAAACTCCTCCTCATCAGAAAGCCCAGAGGGCTCCTCCTCAGTGTCCCTCCGACCTTTTTTCAGCCGCTTGAACTTTTTGCTCTCCTTAGGAATTATAAAAAATTAGTCAATAAAATTTGTACATAAAACATGGTCATTTATCCACTCAAGCCCAACATTAATAAAAAATGAAATATATATATATATATATATATATATATATATATATATAAACCTTCCAAGACCTTCCGAATATTGATATTATTGTCCTCCAGCAACTCATAATCATCTTCATCAAGGACATACTCCTCCCTAAAATAGAGACATTTTGTTAAATATTTGTAAAGAAATATAAGTGATAGCATCATTGATAATTTAAATTTTAAACAAGAAGTACAGATAAAAGAACACAATTAACTTTATTTCAATCCTATGTCTATCTCCCTCCAAAGGGGCACAGAAAGAACTTGGCAGTAGCCAGAAACCAGCCCATTTGCATGGAACTTCCAAAATATGGAAGAAAAATTTATGTCATTTAGAAATCACGCGCAAAGTTTTCTAAGAGGAAAACCCTATCAGCTGTTTGATGTAAGGGTGATTATCAAATATATATGCATGACAGACATACAAACATATTCATTGTAATAAAAATATTTATCTATAATCAAGCATTCTGATTTCTTCTCTAAACATACAAGTTCATCAACTTCAATCACAAGCAGATGTAAAAAGACACGATGACAGAAAACTGACTTTTTCTTCCTCTTTTTCTTCTTTTGTGCTCCTCATCACTTTCTGCTTTCTCTTCTTCATCTTGCTCCTCTTCATCCTCAATGTCATCCACAATAAATCCATCATTTTCATACTCATCCTGCCCTTCTGAAGTGAGGAGGGAAGAAAAAGTGTATCAGAAACAATGAGATGCACATAATTAACTCCAGAAAATAAGACACCATCATTCATATAACAAGCAAAAACAAAATGAAGAACATCAGAAACAAAAAAAGAACAAGGCTAAACTCTTAACTGACAATTAAATTACATCACAAAAGGGACTTAACCATAAAATGCTAACATCATTTGAACAAATACGTAAACAAAACTCTAAAATGAGCATCAGTCTTTATAATGGGAACCACTAAACAGCAGCCAGAATTCTGTCTACCACACCTTAGTTCATACAACTATTGTCCGCAGCCAAGACACAACTTCGAAAAATTGTTATGGAACGGGTAAATGATATTACCCTTATAGAACAGATATAGAAGATAAAGATTTACAATTCACTGCGCTAATCAGAATTCCATAAAAAGTTATACTAAATTCACTTAGTTTCATGTTCAAGCCAGAAGACCAATCTCGTCCTCAAAGAAATCCAATATATTCGTTAGTTTACTTTCGCTTCTGTCATGAAATTATCAACAAGGTTTAAACTTCATAGCTGTCTCCAAAAATAAAATATCATCCAAAGTACCTAACAAAGAGAGTCGTTCTGCATTTACCACATGTAAATCTCTCACTCACATCAAACAGCCCAACAAAAGCAAACCCTAGTTTGATACCCAGATTTTCTAACAAAGCCAAAAGCGCCACCACCACTGAAGAAAGTTGCATACAAACAAAAAACTGAAAAAATACAAAAAAAAAAAAAAAAAACATTCAAACAACGCATAGTTCAGAAATCTCGACCCAATCAAAGTCCATACCCTCTTCCTCATCCTCATCTTCGTTATCCACATCGCGACCCTCTTCCAATTCGTCCCCATCAACAGGTTCCCTCTCTTCCTCGTCGAGCTCGACGTCGTCTGCGCGCATTTAACAGCCAAAGGAACCGAAAATGTCAGAAACTTCGAAGGGAAAATGAAAATGCAAAGAGGAATTATGGAGTTTCTAAGGTTAACCTTCTTCATCTGAGATTACGCCTTTTGCCATGATTGAAGACTACGAAACGCAGAGAATAACAAAAACGACAGAGAAAACCAAACGGAAGCTGTTGCCAAATGCGATTCAGAAGAAGCGACGGAAGAGAGTTGAGTTTGGAAGTGAAGAATGAGAGAAGACGGTGTTATGCATTGCGGGAAATATAGCGCCTGCATCCTCATTTAACAATTAAGCTATTAATTATATTGTTTAAAATGTATTACAGTTATACAAATTTTAGAAATATGGCGTAATAAAATGTGTGTCCTGTGTTCAATTTTGTAGGGTTATTAAATTTAAAATACTCTATATTAACTAAAAAAATAGATAGCCTAGTAAAAGCACGATAGATAAAATTATGTTTTCGAAATTAAAAAAAAAGTTTGATAAAATTAGTTTATAATTTTTTTAATTATTTTCTTTAAAATTAAAATATATTTCACAATTTTGCTTTTGTATTAGCATACAATTTTTAATTTTGTTAAATTTACGAGTTAAATTAATATTCTAAAACCATTTTTTTAAAACATATTATTTTTCTATTTTTTCAGTACAAATTAATAAAACAAATGAATATTTTAAAACCATTTTAAAACTGTTATTTTGAAGAAAATATATATATATATATATATATATATATGTATATATAAACAGTTAAAAAATACTTAAACATAATATACCATTATTAATAATTTAAAATAATGGTTAACAATAAAAATTAATAACTAAATTAAAGACTATATATTGTTATTAATTTTTAAAATAATAAATAAAATAAAATAAAACAATTATTATTTCTAATTTTTTGCATTTTTTAATTAAATTTATTCTTCTTTTATTTTTATCTTAAAATATTTTTATAATTTTTATTACTTTTAAAAATATTTGTTTATAGTTTTAAATTATATTATTTTTATAGGGAACTGAATTAAAGAAAATATTATTATTGTAATTCTAATGATTTATGACTTTTATAGTTTATATATTTTTTCATTTTGTATTTAATATTTGTTTATTATAATATTTTTTTCAATACTTCTATTTTGTATTTATTTTTTCCATAGGTTAAACTTTTTATTATAATGTAATACATTTTATTACATATTTAATCAAATTAATTCAAAAATTACTATATTAGTTATTTTATTTATAAAAATAAAATAATAAAAATATTTCATTACATATAAATATAAAATTAAAATTAATATAAATATTAAATTTTCAATGACCAAAATATAACGTTATAATAAAATTGGACACTAGAAATATTAAACTTTGCTTCATAATGTAATATTGTTTATTATGTTTTTAATCAAATCATTTTCATATAATAAACAAAATTATATAACATTAAAATAATAAAAAGATATTTTATCTATAGTTTATATATAATATAAATATTCAAAAAATTTCATATCATTTTACATTTCATATTATATAACTAATTTTTATTTTAAATTATTTTCATTTTAAATTATAATTTTATCTTTAATTTTTTTGGTAATTATTTTCATAGCGTTTTATTCTAAATTGTAAACTCTAAATGTTTATTTAATTGTTTTTTAAATTATGTATATGCTTTTAATGTTTTAATCTTATTTTGTATTTGTGGTAGATAGAGGTTTGTGTTCGTATGGTAATTGATTAGGTTATATAATTTTTTTCTTTTAAAAAATTATTGAATTCAGAAGAATAATAAATTGAATAAAAAAATGGTTAACAATAACAAATTTTTACTTAGTAATCAGTTAAACATTCTATTATTAAATTATCAATTAGTTAATGTGTGAGCTAATAATACGAAAAGATGATAGGATTAAGATATAAAGACGTAATTTTTATTTGATTATTACTACGTGAAATTTTGTTATTATAATTGTGAATTATTTAATAATTTTTATAATCTTATTTACTCAAATTTAGTTATTTTTCTTTAAATCTTTCAAAAAAAGAAAGCAAGTTTTTGAAATTTAATTAAGTTTTTGAAATGGTAGATTTTTGAGAAAAAATAATCAAAATAAAATTAAGAAGTCTAATTATAAACAGAATATCAAGAAATATAATATTGTTTCTTTTTACTTTATATGTTTTGGACGTGACAAAAGTCGTATCAAATATAAGAATAAAAAGAATAAGATAAAAAAGAAGAAAAATAGGAGAAGTTTAAATAAGTTTATATAATTTAGGATGAGGTGAATGAGACGACATTTTCAATTAATTAGTTATAAATGTTTGAAAAATAAATTTAGTTTAAAAGGAGTTAAGTTGAATGTTATAAGAATGAAAAATTTATCAATCATTTAATTAAATTTTTGGAACTCAATTACACAATATTGACAAGAAAGTATAAAAACATATAAAAATACTTATAAAAGTGTACGCAAGAAATAAAAGGAGAAAGATTATATTAGTTACACATGTGTCTTTTTATTCGTTAGCTTGATATGTTAACTTGTCTTTTTCTTCTTATATTTAGCTTGTTTTTTTCTTCTGAATAAGTAAGTTTTCTATCTTTTGTATTCAATCAATATGTGAAATATACCAATTTTTCTTCTTCGTTGTTTTCTCTCAAATTCTCAATGGAATCCATGTGTTTTACATTATGGTATCAGAGCGGGTTAACACTCGCTCTACCGCCGCTGCATCCTTTCTGGGTTTTTTTCTTATTGTAAAAAGATGGTTTTTGTTAGTTCTTCAACTACTAACAGCAATGCACGCAAATCGTGATCAACAAATCTTTGAATCCTTCAAGCTCGTATTATTTGCACCCAGGTGAGAATCCTGGAATGATTCTTGATTCCAAGACATTGAATGGTACGAACTACCATTCTTGGAGTAGGAGTATGCGCAACTCTTCTTTCAAAAAACAAATTGAAATTCATCACTGGAGCCATCAAGATTCCACAAGAAGACGATCCTCTTTATGACTCATGGATGAGATGCAATGTCATGATGCTCTCTTGGATAACTCGAACTTTAAGTGATCAAATTGCACAAAGTACTATATACATTGATAATGCAAGATATCTTTGGGAAGATAACAAGAAACTGTTCTCAAAAGGAGACCATTTTAGAATTTTCGATCTACTCCAGGAATTGCACTCCATTAAGCAAGGAGAAAGAAGCGTCTCCGAATTCCATACAGATCTCAAAATTCTTTGGGAAGAGATGGAATCCTTGCGTCACATTCCTAGTTGTACATGCAATCTACAATGTTCTTGTGAAACCTTCAAAATCGTTGCTCGTTATCGTGAATCAGATCATGTAATATGTTTTCTGAAGGGATTAAATGATGCCTTCACCACTACAAAATCTCAAATTCTCTTAATGGAGTCTCTCCCAAGAATCAATCGTGTTTTCTCGTTAATTCTGCAACAAGAACAACAATTGGCAGGAGTGAATCACGTTGATGCCAAAACTCTTTTGACAGTTGTTAATCAAGGACCTATTGCGAATTTTAACAATCAAGGAAATTGGAAAACTCAAGGACGTGGATCTTGGAAGAACCAAGGACGTGGGCGTGGGAGGAATTCCAACTATGGTAAACAGTGTACTTTCTGCAATAAAATGCACCATATTGTTGATGAATGTTATGCCAAACACGGATTCCCCCCATGGTATAAAAATAACAAAAATGATTATGTTGTTAACACTGTTATGACTGACAACGTTTTGAAAGAAAAAGAATCAAATAATCAAGTGCACATTGTTCAGAATAGTTAGTTGACAGGTGAACAAATTCAACAATTATTAAAACTTCTACAAGAAAAGAACCAAGACACTACTCATAGGGTCAATCAGTTTAAAAATAATAATGGTGATCAACAAGACTCCAAAGGTATTCTCTGTTCATCTTGGATTATAGACACTGGGGCTACTGATCATGTACCTTACAATAAAAATCATTTTTTTAACTTTTACTAAAATCAAACCTATGCATGTGAAATTACCTAACGGTAATCATGTCACTGCTGAATATGCTGGCACGGTTTGAATTTCAAATAGCCTTACACTCTATAATGTTCTTCATATTCCCAATTTTGAATTTAATATAATTTCTGCTCAAAAACTTATTATTGATTCCAATTGTAAACTGATTTTTTCTTCTAACCATTGCTAGATTTAAGATGCTCTTACATTGAAGATGATTGGGCATGCTGACCTGAAAGATGGCTTGTATTGTTTACAGAAACACGATACTATTTTTTCTTGGTCTCTTATTAGTAACATCAGTAATAATAGTTCAATTGTGCCTGCTGATGACAACATCAGTATTAATACTCGCAGCAGAAATCATTCAACTCCCAATCTTTGGCACAACAAATTGGGACATCCCTCTAACAAGATAATTGAAAATATGATTAAAGATTTTCCTTACATTCATAATAGTACTGAAAATATTTGTGAAGTATGTCATTCGACCAAGTAACATAAACTTCCCTTTAATAACAATAATCATGTTTCTAGTACAATTTTTGAAATGATTCATATAGATATATGGGGTCCCATTGGTATTCCTTCTATACATGGTCATAGATATTTTCTTACTATTGTTGATGATTTCTCTAGACACACATGAGTTTTTCGTATGAAGAGTAAACATGAGACTAAGAGTTTATTGAACAATTTTATCACCCTTGTTAAAAACCAATTTGGTTGTAATATTAAAATTTTCAGAATTGACAATGGGAAAGAGTTTTCTTATCCTGAATTCTATGATAGAAATGGTATTATTCATCAAACTTCTTGTGTAGAGAAACCTCAACAAAATGGAAGGGTAGAGAGGAAGCATCAATACATAATGAATGTCACACGTAGATTGTTATTTCAAGCCAATCTTCCAAAATGTTTTTGGTCCTATGCTGCTATTCATGCTATCTACCTAATCAACAGGCTACCAAGTAAAACCACAGGGAACCAATTTCCTTTCCAAATTTTGCATAATCAACTCCCTGTTCTTGATGATTTAAAATTGTTTGACTATCTTTGCTTCACATCTACAATTCACAACA